GAACGGTTCATTACCGTTTTACCGCTCACTTTTAGTAGCCGAACAGTAAATAAATGTCAATAGGAATTAGTTTTGCTTAACAATTAGTCTGCGGGCGGATTTTTTGTGGCAAATAAAATGTTTCGGTGCCGTGGCCTTTCATTATCTCCGCGCCGCTCTCTTCTCCGTACTTTAGTCGCCATTACCTCGTGTTAATCATTTCTTGAAAGGGGGGGGGGGAGAGAGAATGAGGGGGGAGTGATGGATGCAGTCGGGTTTGGTAGATTTATGATAATCTTCCGCGGCTTTATACACTAGCTTTTGTGTTAAGTCTGTATGTTTTAGGTATTTTGCGAAACGAAAGAACGGCACGGTTAATATTTGATTGGTTATCGCATTGTGATTGTAAATGATACATTTTTAGTGAGTAGGTTGTAATTCATACGACCCTGAAATTCCGCACATTATTTACTGGCTTTTAATAGCTTTCTAGGGGAACCGTGCCGATTTCGCACGTAAATGCATGGAGGTAAATATGAATCGATATAGTATACAAATCTCATTTTGTTAGTGTACGTTAGAGCCATATTTGTGTACATTTCGGTCATTGATTTTGCGTTAGTACACAATTTCTTCATTCCTATATCTACACAATGTCATAACAAAAGTCTATTGATAATTTATTTTACAAAAATTGATAATGAGTTGAGTTGGATTTTGAAATTCTTTGTATTTGTTGTATTGTGTGAAGACCGATATTCTTTCGTTACGTAATAATGTATCACAATGCACAAGGTAGGCTAAGCCAAACAAAAAACCCTTTCGTAATTTTTATTTTAAAAATTACTCCAATTATGAAAATCTTTACCCACATGCTGATGTCGACGAGAGCTAATTAACAGACCCTAGTGTGTATCGATACAGGCGGTATTGGCGGCAATATGAATTCAATATCCCGCGGTCCAGTGAGGCCCCCCTGCCCCCTGCCATCCCCCCTCACATGAGCCAGGTGCCAGCGCTACTAGCGGCGTGCCCTGTAATCATCGCACCGCCACACATCCAGCTACGTCATTACCGATCCAAATTGCAGCTAACACGGGATCATAACATTATGAAAAGCGGCCCACAATAACCTGGCTGGATTTGTCAGCCTCTGTCTTACTCTTCTTCTTCTCTCTTACTCGCCCATTCTTCTTCTTCTTTACCATCTATTTCTCCTTTACCTTCTATTGCTGTTTTATCTTCTATTTCTCCTTTACCTTCTATTTCTGCTTCCTCTTCAAGTTCTGATTCACCTTCCATTTCTCCTTTACCTTCTATTCCTCCTTTTCCTTTTCTTTTTCTGCTTAACCTTCTATTTATCCTTTTCCTTCTATTTCTTCTTTACCTTCTATTTCTGTGTTACCTTCTATTTCTGCTTTACCTTCTGTTTCTGATTTAACTCCTCTTTCTCCTTTTCCTTCTATTCCTGCTTCACCTTCTATTTCTCCTTTTCCTTCTATTTTTACTGCTTTACCTTCTATTTCTCCTTTACCTTCTATTTCTGCTTTACTTTCTATTTCTCTTTTACCTTCTATTTCTCCTTTACCTTCTATTTCTCCTCTACCTTCTGTTTCTGCTAAACCTTCTATTTCTGCTTTACCTTCTATTTCTCCTTTACCTTCTATTTCTGCTTTACCTCCTATTTCACCTTTACCGATTCACTGAACATTATTCTCTCAAGATTCACTAGATCTTCCTTAGAATATTATCGTGCAGCATGCTTTTATTTGTTTAACCATATACCATTAGAATTTTTACGTTTTTTTTTGGGGGGGGGGATGGCCCAAACCCTATCTTATTTGCAATAACATTATGCAACCTGTCAAAGTGGTCAACAATTTGATGTAACTGAATATTGGCGTTTGGAGTCATCCTTTCTGTATATTGCATTGATTTCCAGCGTTTATCAACCAAAGTTTGTCATATGCACCTGATGTTTCCCACTCTTTAGTTTTACAATGTATAATCCCTACTTGTTAACTTTGAATATAAAACCTACATAAAAATAAATGTAAAGGGTTCACAGTTGTCCAAGAATTTATGTATTTGCATGCAACATACATTTTTATGCGTCGACTCTCTATGTATATGACTTTACATATTTCTACACATTGCTGATGTAAAAATTTTGTGATTTCGACGGAAATAAATTAATTGGAGTGTGAGAAAATAAATAGGAAATATTTCAGAGGAAATATTGAGTCGATACCTTAATTATTCCTTAAATTGTATGAATACTAATTGTTAAAATAGGTGTTACATAATTTAATTGACAATTTAGTTACAACAACGCATTATTTGGAATTACAACGATCACGTAATCCACCCCCCCCCCCCCCCCGTAGACTATTGCCATACTACAGTGCATCTAGGGAGCCGATCCCTCAAGAATTATGTTTATTGACGTCTACCCCTTCGACTCAACATACTATGCAGCACGTGGCACTCTAATTTACTGCGATACACTCATAGTGAACGATAAACCCAGTTGACTGTTAAAAAATCCATTGGATCGATCACAGTTGGAAAGCGACCGGGTAGGAGGGTCGTCCCCTTCTAATTGAATACAGATATCGATACACCCGTGCCTAGCTCGGTCAGCTGCGAGGCTGCCGAAAAATGAAAGTGCGCGCGTAAATTCGTGTTATTAAACCAGATTGGACGTCCGATAGGAAATTGAGTCGAGCGTGAAGAAATTTCGGGGAACCTCGGTGATCGGGGAAACGGGAGGGTTATGTTTTTGAACGGGTTGAAAATGTATATATTTTTGTCAAAAACGGATTTGAACCGTGTTGAATTTCCATTTACCTTTGAAGTTTACACTTTATAACGAATGAATAATTAAAAAGTAAAATTATTAGAATAAACCATAAGTTTTTATTATGTTACAAATTTTGCACTGGCTACTAAAAACTTGTAATGGCATAAAATCATTTAGATTTGTGTTTTACAATCATAAATTATTTGTATCATAGTACTCCTATAACCAGCTGAAAACAAACATGTCCATAATGTAAGGCCATTTTAGTAGGTAACTTCTAAAGAACGTTTGATTTAAAATACGAAAGAAGTATGTAATCTCAAGAAACAAAAACATGAATGAAACACTTTCTATGTATTTCACCGAACGTTTTATAACGTTTAGTTTATATTTCTACCAAACCCTGGTGCTCACCGCATTCTAACCCCTAAACAAACAAGAAATATGTCCAAAATCGTGTTTTTCCTAACCATATGGCGCTGTAATGACATTTTCACTTCTAAGCTATAATCTCGGCCTAAACGTACCGCCACCTACCGATAATTTACCAAATTGAAGCGAGCCAAATTTATTCCGTCCCGAAAAAGAATTTCGGTAATTACCTAGACTATCATTAGACCGGCTATTATTATTTATTAGGAGTGAACACGATTTCCATAATAAAGCCGAGACAATATTAAACATAATTAAACGCTGTACACGCGACCCGACTACAGGGTGTCCCGCAATTTGGTCGCATTAGTCGGCGCCTTTAGCCAGACCGTTTTTTCGGCCCATTAAAAGAACGTTATTCTAAGTTATGTCGGGTTTCGACACCTCTATAAATATCAAAATGGACGTTTTCAACGGCTATTAGTGGTTGGAATCTGTTATTTAACCAAGTGGTCCAGACGTTTCGCTTCAAAGTAGTCCGCACTTCGTACAGCATTTCGGGGAGTTAAAATCACTTTGTGAGAAGAAATTGTGAGAAAGCAAATAGTTGAATTGTTTTATCTGTATTAATATAAACCATTATTGGTAAAACAAAAATATTAAATGTACAGAATAAGCCTAAGGAGTGTCCTTTGTTATTTTTTTTTACTTAGTTGGGCTAAACGGCTATACATATATTAAATCTTGGGGTAACGAAATTACTTTATGATCTTATTACCCGCGAAGAAAAATTGATGGTATCACAGTTTGATAAGGAAAACACTAATAAAATATACTGAGTGCTTAATAAGTTGTGGAAGGATTATAATAATAAGTTTGTCCAAAAATTGGGTTCTTTTCGTTAATTCATTAACACGACGTTTTAAATCTACCCAATATAAACTCTCACCAAGACAAGTGAGTCTCAATCAATCAAAACCTAAAAATCAATTCGAACAATTGAATACCATCGCAGACAATCGCACATCCAAACAAACGTTGATAAAATTAGTGAACAATGAAGGCATATTGTCGAAGGAACATTAGGGCCACATGGAGATAAATTCAGCCCGACGAGGACACTCGCCCACTAACATACAATGGCTACTACTGAATTGGCCCATCAATAAAAAGATAACAGCCGGAGATGTCAATAGAGGTAATGTATGCTGGATCTCCACACGACTCCATTTTGAGCGCCACACACGCTGCGTGTGGGCGTATACATGGTACAAGGTACACGCAGTCAGATATACGCTAACTCGACATTTAAATTTACTGTATACTTAAGCATTGTTGCAGTCACCTATTTTTTGTATTATATTATGCCACAATTTAGCGTAAATAGAATAAGGTTGTACTCTTAAATTTGGGGATTAATTTAAACTTCTATGTATAAAAAAAGAAATGATCCTAGTCGTAGTTTCCATAGATTTTTTTAAGGAATAAGATGTCCGAAAAAATGTATTTTTTAAATAAAAATTTCCACAGTAAAAAATTGCGTTATAAAATATTATAATAAGTTACTTTACTGTTTGTCAATGAACTACTGTTACTTAAATTTGTTAACGTTTACGTATAATTAATTAATTACTATTTTATTTTATCGTGAATGTCTATTTGTTTAAATAAAAACTAACAAAAACATTTGTTTCGCTAGAATGATTATTTAATCTAATTCAACGGCGAGAGTTAATAATACATGTAAATAATCCAGTTCTGTCAGCGTATTTAAACCATTAGGATCTAAAAATCGTAAAAAGTAAATTTACAAGTAGAGGAAGTAAGAAGTAAAAGAATATCTCACCTGTCAAAGTCCGTGAGTCTGGACGAATCTCGGAAGCCCTTGGCGAAAGGATTACTGTCGATTTTCAGCTTCGTAATCTGAAAGAAAAAGATTAGATGAATTATTTTACTTGGTGACTGAATAAAAAAATGTCTGCGACGTTGTAACAACTGTTTTCTTTCTGGTAATACCTTTTTCGTTCAATCTACGAATATTTGTCATACATCTCATAATTTACCTAGCCAATAAAAAAAATAACATAGTTGAGATTAAGCAAACAAGAAAACATGAACAAGTTATAAATTCTCAATAGATAAAACCATTGATTAATAAGCATTGAAGTTTGAACGGGCAGAATAGAGATTCCGCACTCTATTTGCGAATTTACTAGACCTTTTTTAGTTATAGTTTTTTCACCACACTACGATGTTTTTATCCGTTTTACAAACTTATTGGAGGATGAAAATTACGTATTGCTGTCTATACCAGCTGTCATCGTCATTTGGGGACCGAGCAGGTTTTTACATTCCTAGGGCCGAAAATCAGCTGTGCGCTTACTTACATAGTAATGCATTTTTTATTAAACAATCAGTATCCATAGCATTGCAATAGAATCATTTTATTCCCACCGCTGCCTAGCAACTATTTATAATTATTTTTGCTGATTCTTCAATGTACTTCTTCACATAACCTTAAAGTTGTAGTCGTGTTGACTGTTAGTATGCATTATTATTGTGGTGAATAGGGTATAGTGTGGTGAAAAATAGCGATCGTACCACGGAAATGGTTTGCCAGCTCTCGATCGTTTCAAGTTCTCGAGTTCGTCTCGAACTTATCTCGAGCCTGCAAAACCTCATTTTCGGCTCTAGGTACGAAATGACGAAATATTAATAGAAAACAATATTTTTAATTTAAACTACATCAGCCAGAGTTAGAAATTAAACAAGAATATTTAAGACAAAAGCTAAACCAACAGTTTAAACTCTTTCCCTGGAGGCAGGTAGGCGAAAGTGTGCTGAAGATTAAAGTAATTTTTCACCGCTCGCCCTCCACTGCACGTTTGCTCAGATCTTTAGCGCTGTTAAAACCATATTTCACCACTATCTAAACAGAAGGCAAGGTTTTAGAATAAACCGCATAACTCACTTGTAAACACGGTCCTGGACCTTTCGTTATCTTACCAGGCTTAATTTGGAGACATTATTACGGACCCTGTAGAAGAGCTTTTTTGCCATTTCAGATTGGATGTTTACACTAATTTGAAACTGTGGATACACTTTAATAAGTTTTGTCAATGAGTATACATACAGTAAATTTACAGTATATGGTTTGCTATGTTATTATTTATTTTTACAGAATCCGTTGCCACTATTGTCATCTAATTATATTTAATTTTCCATTCCTTTTGCCTGTTATACTCTACTAGTGTTATATTTATTTATATTATATTTATTTCCTATTTATATAGTCATTTATTATATATTGTTACATTATTTCCTTGTAATATTTTTATATTATTGTATATTTGCCTTCTAGTTGGCTGTATAATGCTTTCTTAAACTGTTCTTTCTCTAAACTGACATAACGTTTTTCATAAGTTTATGTATTGGTTGTTTGATTGTTGGAATAAATAATACAATATTAAATTTTATTTATACTCATATTATAGTTTACCATATTGAGCCAAACAGGCTTTTTACATCGACCTTAATATGCTACACTCCAATAACATTAATATAAATAATGTTTAAAAAATATTATTTTTATTTTTGTATATTGTTGTCAAAGTTGTGTGTTTATTTCAAAGCAGATTAAGCCTGCTCTTTTTCAGTTACACACTTGCTATTTTAAAAAAAAAAAAAAACTAAGTCTAAAAAACTAAAAAACAGTCCCACATCTGTGGTGTCATCTATTGCACGTTGTTTGTGTTTGATGGAAGTTTAGTCTTTGAAAGATACGATATCAATACCACCAAATAAATTGGTTTTATTTGAATTCTGGTAACCATAAAGAATAACAAATATTCAATTATGAGCTACGGCGATGATTTTTAAGAGATTCAAATTGTCAAAGAACGACTACAATTGCTTTAACTGTACAAGAATATGCAATTGTATCAATCAATTTTACGTTATTAGTTCAGAACACGAATGAAATACCAACCAGCTGATTCTGGTAGGCGGTGACAGCTGTGAAGACAGACTCAGGGAACACGTACGTCCTGAACTGCTCCTGGTCCAGGTCTAGGATTGGTCCACCGTGTTCTCTCCACTTCACCAGATGTATTCGTGGTTGGTAGCGGTGCATCGAGTTGAGGACGATCTACAACAAAAGGTGGTGGTAAGTACTGAAGTTAACTTAAACACTGTCATGGCAAAGGTCGTGAATAATTGCACCAAGGTCCCAAAAATGTTCCAGTTGCGCCAAGCCCACGGTAGGGGTGAGTTGACGGCAGAAGGAAAGTCCTTGTTTACGTGTCATCCTTACCAATCCTAACCTAACCTAACCTACTCAATTATACAGTCAAAGAAGGCCACCCTTGTCGGTACCCAACAACGTATCGGTTGGCTCCCTGGAGTAGTTGGCGCAATTCAGGAATACCCGTTTGACTCAGGTCAGTTGGCGCAATAAATGCCCGCACATAGTAAACTCTGGCAGTAATGCCGTCTTGGAAAACTGAAACGGCCATGAAAGTTCTGGAAGGTAAAGTTTTTTGCCTTGAAAATACCCATCACACACCCAAATTCCAAAACTCAGCCCATTCCCATTCCCGGAGCGTAGACGGATGTGCTGTAAACAAACCCGCGCGAACATCATCAGCCTTGCTTGTCGTTAGCCAGGTGTCGCCGAACCAACCACCTGCCTCTCAACAAATTGTTCTAAATTATTACACATTATTCAATTTTACAAACCTGTTGGGTCGCTCGGTGGCAGCGCAGAATTGGAAGTGTTTGTCGCATTGTGGGGTATTAGCATATGTGGGCGCTGCTACCTACAGCAGGCTATACCGTACGTCGGGTCTGTAGTTGTAGCAACACTGTGAGGTATTCAGGGGTGCTACCTACAGCACTGCTGCCATACCCTAATGTCGAATATGTGTTCATACATAGTAAAAAAAAAAAAACTGTATCAGCAATCTGACCCATACATTCTCCTATTAGCTTGTCAACAACCTTTGTCATAAGCGATGGGAGTAACTATGATATTTTATAGAAAAAAATACAAAAATTGCAATAACTTTTTAGCTGTAATTTTTACAGCAATGAAGGATCGCACTATTTTGATTAGAATTATAAGGGCCATAACATACTACTTTAAACCAAAACCGGATTTTAAAAAAAAACTGATTTTAATTATTTTATTAAGTGTTATGGGAAATAACATAAGAACATTGGATTTTGAATTTTGTGTAAGGGGGTGATTCCACTTTCTTCAGAACTTCTACAAAATACAAAAATTTTATCAAAATCGTTCCGACCATTTTCGAGAAAATTCAACTTAATGTTAATTTGTGGGGGACTCACCATTAAAAATACAAATTTCAAAAAATGAAAAAACGCCTGGAGATACCATGGAATAGTACCTAAATACCAAATTTCATCAATATGACTACAAGTTTGGTATGTGGCTCTACACACATCCTCACATACAGACGGACACACACACAGACATCACTTCGGAAACCACTTTTAAAACGGACCTATCCACTCAAAACTCAAACTCGAAAGTTTTGACTAAAACAATACTTTCTCCATATACTATGTACAGGGGGAGAAAATAAAAAAATGAGGGAGAAGTCTGCACTTGCGTCTGAGGAATAAGATTTTCCTCCACTTTGAAGCAAACCCGGTAAACATTCACTTCATACTCGTACTTTACCTACGTTTAAGCATCAACCCAGCCCGTTACGTAGTGAGTTTCAAAAATACTGTAGGCTCTAGGTTAATACAGAAAACCGATTAAATAGTCGATATTTCATCTTAAATCACCGCTCGCGACACTCCAGACCTCACCGCGTGTCGAATGATATTTACCGCGGTATTTTCTAGCGCCCACCATTCAACAGCCATAAAGCACCTTGTAATAATTGTTTTACGGTATAATGGTAGGTCGGACAAAGAACCGCCGCCGAGAATTAAAACACGGCTGACATAAAGTCGGCCATTTATCATGTGACGCCTCCCAGCGTTTTGCACACAACGCTGTTGAGCTAAAACGTCATGAGTCACTCTGGGAGAGGATGACGGCGGCTGACTTTGGCGGCGATGTGTGTAAATATGCAACTGGTGTCTATTTGACGCTAGAAAGGTAAGTAAAGTGGTGCAAAAGGTCACACTCTCCCAGAACCGTTGTTTTAGCCATAAAGGTATTCTTGAATTATTTTGGTTGGAGTTGGAAACTGTGAAGGTAATTTACTGTTCATAGTGAATCCAGTCCTTGGTAATGCTAATAATGTCAAAGCGTTATTTAATTACTCCCCTTTAATTATCAATTTTTTGAGGTTACTTAGCGTTATAATATTTTATTGGCAGCCACCATTTTGCTAATTTAAAATAAATTTAGAGGTTACTGGTGAATAAATAAATGTGAATCCATGACAATAAGTTTAAGTAAATATAAATGTACCTTCTAATGAGAATATTGAGAATCATTACAGAATATTAGTTTTATTGCTACAACGGTTTCCCCAAGTTAATTAAAGCTGCGAATTAAACATTTGCTATACAAAGAAATTAAGTTGCCTGTGTAATAATTTAAATTTTCTTGCCAAAACTGTTTGGATCTCATTTCCATCTATGTTGCGCTCACATTTCCCCTAAAACAATGTTTTTCCAAAGCAGTAACAACGACTTACACCTCATAAAATGATTCGACTCTCGAAATGTTGATTGAAAGTGACAAATCCGAATTCGTCGAGTGGGCGAGGTGTCGCAGTGTCGTGGTGGTAGCCCATTGTGCCGAGCTCCAACACATAAAGTACTGTTTCTAGTGTTGATACCGGGCGTGCAGGTGACAGTAAATATCAGCATGTCAGCCACCAGCTGAGAGACCCCGGGGGGTCGCTCCCCCCCTCAGAAACGGCCCCCCATCACCTAACATTTCATTCGAATTCCAAGAGCATTCTCACCCCACGGCCGTAAATTAGAGATTTAAATATTTAATAAAACCCGTTAAAGGAACACGTAAGTGTTTCGATGAAGTGTGTGATCTATCGAGTTTGAATCGGTTGAAGTTAATGTGAGGTTAAAGTTCAACGATGCTAGTAAGTCAAGACAAGGAGTAAAATTGTGGAGAATTTTATCTAAATCTTATAGAGTAAAATAGGTGTGTAAGTCATACGTAAACGTTGATATAATGTTTGTGACCATTCCAGTAGTATTTGAGGTTATGGAATCACAAACGCTCGGGAAATTGTCCAAACCCATCAAATTTTTATTTACTGTACAGTGTACATAAATTCCACTAGAATATTCATTGAACATTCGAAAATCAGTACCAGATGGGTCTCAAATAGTAGTGTTCAATATTGTCAGATAAAAGTCCTAACCCCCTAAAAACAAATTTTCCCCAATTTTAGATATTTTTGATAAGAGTGACAATAAATAAAAGTTAATGGCGAAACAATGTGTGGAATCAAACCCCCTCTACAATGACTACACCGCAATGCACTCTGCAGTGAAGAAGTTGCAGCCTATAATCACGTGTTTCCCGCGGTGGTGTGAGACTCTGAGCAGAAGAAAGACGTTGATAGAAGTGTGAATTTGGTCCCAGAGGCGAGGTAATTGGAAGGGCAATCAGCAAAGATGGTATCAGCAGAGCAGCAGGTGCATCTGGTAATTAATTACAAGTGGAGGTGTCAGGGCGGGGCGCGAGGGATGTTTACCTTAGGTTGCCATGGCAACGTCGTCACGCCCAGACAGTTAGGGTACGTCTTCAGTCGATACACGGCTGATTGCCCTGCTGAAGGGTAGTTTACCCTGTTGCCGGGCAACGCCATCTCATCTCATCCCCTACAGTAATGTAATGTAGTCACCGACGCTCTGTTCTCTCCACATTGCCGTCCCTTGCATGCGGATTACAATCTAAAGTGGACTGGTGTAGTTTTATAAATATTCAAGCGTTGGGAGATAATTGAAAACAGTGTAGGCTTAGAATAGTTTAACATATTACTTCGTGTAGTGAAACTATGTATTAAATTAGCAGATTTCAATAAGGATTCTTATAAGATAGGTTCCCATGCAGACTCTCAAAATACCCGACCTTTCTAGGAGAATATGTTGAAACTGAATTCAATCTATTATTGCCAATTTGCAAAACGGAAAGTCTGGATTATTGTAAGTATTATGACAATTTTAATTTTGCACATTCAAGACAAATGCGTATCAGCTGCAAAGGTAGATTTTAGAGACATTACAGGAAACCCTAGTGTTTAACACTGCAAACGACTCATCATGTCCTATATTCAACGTTTTACACTATCAATCCTCAACTAATACCAGTCAACAATACAAGTCCCTGTGGACAGTAGTGACATAAAGACTTCTCAACAGGACAAGAATAATCCGGTTGTCAACGTGTGAAAATGTGAGTCATTAAGTGAACCAGCTGTAGGACATGTGATCCTTGGTGAGTGACGATTACATATTTAGCGCCGTGAGGACGACGACAGATCCACGGAGAAGTGGTGCCAGTTGGAGCGACTCCTGGCGGAGGAGTGCCAGAAGCTCAGGTGGCAATGCCAGCGGATGTGTCAATGGCGATGGAATCATTCACCGTCAACTGATACCGGAGAGACCAGAATTGTCTTCCAACATTCTACGTCAAGTCATCGCTCTGTTGTTGTTCTTCACAGATAATTTACTGGAAAGAATTTGCAGATTTGGCAAGGAGAATGGAAGTGTCTTCGAAGCGAGGTCAAAATGTATGTACAATTATTTAAGTTCATCCAGGATTTCTACCCAAGCCCCAAGTTGTATTTAAGTTGATTGAAATGAGTTTCACTAAAGTAGTGTGTAGTGATAACTGGGAAATCTTCACGCAAATACAAGCTGGAAAGACTGATTGTAATGTTGTATTTCTTTACATTCTGTCATTTATAATTTGGAATTTGCAGGTTTGATTTGAACTTTCAAGCTTTTTCAAAAGATGGTTTATCAATACAAACTGACCTGGCCGTTCTTGTCCATCTCGTTGTTGGTGAGTTTGACCTTCTCGAAGGACACGACCTGCTTCCTCAGCTGTTCCCCGGTGAAGGGAGAGTCAGGATGCATGTAAAGGCGGGAAGGCGCCGGAGGATCAGCTTTGCCTGCTACCAGCCACGAGGACCGATGGTAGGCGTAGCGGTACCTCTTGTTGTCCACGGGGACGATGTCCATCAGCACGGCGTACCTTTGGTCTGGCCTCAGGCCTGTGAAGGATACCCGCAACGTCGGGAACATCCGTCTGCAAAAGAAAATCGAGAGTGAGTTAATGATACTTGAGCATGAAGAAAATCAGAATAGCTTTTGTCTGTAGGTCAAGAGCATAGATAATAAGTCCTCCTTTCGCTGTAAAATATCTGCATTACAACATATTTCATATTTCGCTAGCATTCGTAAATAAAATATGTTCTAAAAGATTATTCCATCACTATAGTTCTTCAAGTACACATTGTTACCTCGAAAGAGACAATTTGAAACTATGAAGCTTCATGATCGTTATGTAGACCCGCCCCCACTACCCCAGATAGAGACATGAGGGGTGAGTGATGCCACCCTATCACGAAGGGACGTATCAACATGGTGGTCGGCCACATTGTCACTGTGAGAAATGCGCGTTTTCCGTGCACGAGATAACAGTCATTTACACGACTCGTGGTGAAAGACCGTACTACATTACACCCCCTCCCCTCACCATGGCAATAACTGTATTGAAATACTCCCCTCCACCCGTGTTCGCTGATAATGTTTTGTCGGTAAACAGTTTTCACTCTGCGCTTGTGTTAAACAGCATGGAGCAACGCAAACTGTTATAAATTATAGGTAGGCCTACAGTCATGTTGTATATTGCAATAGATTCATGAATATATTTTATATCAACTAAGATGAAACTGTATAAGGATATGTTAGGAAGAGCCTAGTGCTAGAAAAGTTGAAAGATTAGGAACAACACCTGAAATAGCAGATTATAAAGAAAAATGAAGGGACATCGTAACAGACCAAAAACCTCTCTAGGTTTTAGTGGCTGAAGTAAGCATCACAATATGCTGTCTCCATACATCCACTAGGCAGAATTATGGCAAATAAAATTAATGAAAATACCTCACCCTGGACTACCTAATAAAAACTCCAAATTACTCCACAGCTTTCGGATACGCTACGCATCATACTCGGGATTCTCCAAGGAGATAAATTCCCCGCAATCAGCTAGTTGACACAGGGCCGCCCAATCCATTCGGCAGTTTACTGTCGGCTCTCGTCGTCTCGTAATTAAATTACAATCTACGAGCGAAACTGTGGTGGCACGAGGCAGCGTGTTTACACGTGTCCGGTCCTGCCAGGACTTTACGACGGGCCTACACCTGTCCGTCCATGCGGGCTGCTAACTCATATCTGCTTAACGTTCTTAGGAAATGACATGACAATTAATAAATTACGAGTGAGAACTATTCCTCATAGGTTATTAGCGAGGTCGAATGATGATTATTAATATGAGATAATCATCGTTTCCTCGGCCACCACCTGCCTACAGGTGTAATGGGTAATCGGCCGACTGCTTGTAATTGATTTGTTCTTACTTGGTGCCTCAAGGGTAACGGTAGCACTAATGTTTGGCTTAGATAATGTAACTGTTAAATTAAATAATATTTCTATTTGTAGGTTAATCTATTTCATTCTATTCCTTGCTGTCTTAGCTCTTGATATTTCCTACAGTGCAATAGTTTACAGCTATACGACTTGAAGCTGTGAGAAACCTATATCCGACGAAGTCGAATATTTGAAAAACCATCCAAAAATTAGACATCGCATTTCTTAATCCACAAACCCCTCAACTGAGCCTCAGCCTTTATTGGCCCTTGTGTTTTGTTTGGAAATCGGATTTTGAAATCAAACTGTGGAACTCCAATGTATATGCGATATACAGTGGATCGAATACGACAAGGTATGAAACAACTACCTCTGTGGTAAAACTAATTTCTGCTCACTCTATGCACGCAATTACGTCACGATAATCTTGCTACAAACTCTTGACCAATCACATTGATCTGTAACCTTTTCATTTCCCAAGCCTCATCACCTTTGTACAGATGATACATTGTAAACCGTATCTAAGCTTCTTCAATCCCCGCCCCACTGCCTGGGTGAGATCTTCGTCGGATAACCTTTAAATCTCACCTCGCACCCTACGTCGACGCTCAATTCCCCAGGATTTACATTTATGCGCGAGGTCCAGGTTTAACGCGCACAGCGGGGTTCCGGCTACCAACACAACTGGTTTGGCTCCACAAAACCAAAACTTTACTCTTCTCATTGTCAAGGCGATGTGATGGCCGCGTTAAATTTACTCAGTTTTCGACAATTGTTCCCGGCTTCTTTACGAGCCCCGTAATAGGTGGTGAATCCGAGGGTTTTGTTGCTGGAGGCAGTGACAACACTCCGCGGGGGTCGGGTCCAGTGTGGAACGTTTTTGAATTTCAAGCAAAAAAACTTTTATTCGTTAACCTAAGCTATGATCTTGTCACCCTTAGTAAATGTTTAGTAGCTGATAACTTATTTGGACTAAAATAGACAGTGAATATCCCAAAGTTTTCGACAATCGCTGCAGAATATGGATGCATTGCACGACGTCCAAGTACCACAACGTCCAATTTAATAAGTAGCAGTTGCACCACCTCCAAAGCCGCTGCCAGTTGCACGACTACCAATCCATGAATCCCAAAGCTTGTAGAAAGACGATGCTTCTTGCACTTGCAGTTACTTTACGTTTTGACATGATGAGATTTGGACGTCATTCAACAGTTAAATAGTTTATATTGGACGTCGTAAGACAACTCAAAAATTATTTTTTGGACGTCGTGACATTTGGACGTCGTGCAACACTCCCAGAATATTAACCATTCAAATTTGCTTTGTGCGACTTAATGTTTTGAAAATGAGCTACTCCTACTATGTCCCTCTTTTTTCCGACACTATAACAAACCACTAGGGTATTCGTTCAAAATAAAAGAAGAAACGTATTCTAACATTTATGCATAGACTATACCCACGTTTATTTCTTTCAAAAACCTTGTACATAACAATAGTTCAGCACTGACCGATGCTTTCATATCAAATTATGCTCATTCAATGAGATATAAGTGGAGGCCAGCTGGTAAAGCCCAGATCACAATAAATTAGCAGCATGATGACAAATGATAATGAAGTGTTAACAGTGGCAGCGCGTCATACGGTTGTTTCTACGCGACTTGCATACTGAAAACGTCACAAAATACTGCATTAACATTAACCTTCGCCTGTTTACATTAGAGTGGGTATTCGTTGATTTAGTTGTTGCGATTTGCTTATGATTGATGTGCTATCTTGTTTTACTGCAGTAAATAATATTGTAGATGTTATCTGTGCATAAGAAATCAATGATTATGAATTATTATATACAAGGTAACTTACGTAGGCCCTACTATACCAGACACACCGATAAATCGACTTCCAAATAAGATTTTAATTAGTTTAAATAACAAAATCTTCCTAACCTAACCTAACCTAACCTAGCCTAACCTAATCTAACCACCCTTAGGTTAGGTTATAATAATTATGTGTTGTCGGTATAATCCGTAAGTACCATGACTCCTATTCAACGTAGAATATTGCATTATTAATATGCTATTTGTAGATTTTAAAATGCTGTTATCTAATTTGTTTTGCAATATGGTAACCCACTAAACTGTAGAAATAAATATGCTTTACTAAAATGTCTTTATCCTTGGTCTACGCTATAAATACAATTAAATTTACGATTACCTTTATATTCCTCTGTCTGTGGTTTTATTTAAATTGGACAAAGGGTTTCAGCCAACACATAACCGTTATTTTAATAATTGTATTTCAATACGAACACCGGATTTGTGAAAACTGTTGATTCTTCAACTAAACCTTCTGAATCCTGCCTAATTACCATCTTAATTAGCATCCAGGAATTTTCAATTCAATTTCGACATTATAAAACACTTAAAACCCGCTTCGTTTGTAAATATCGCATGATAGGAAATTGTAACCGTAAATTATCACAGTGATAGACGACAAGATGATGTTTATCTGGGAACAAAGAAACATTAATAGTTGGGTCAGAACACGGTTTTGGCGGCGAGATGCAGATGACTAATGGCCTGTCTTGGCAGTTGGCACACCTGTTGTGACGTGGCATCAGCTGAGACCTACAGTAGTCAGGGCTACCAACTGTCATGTTGAAAAACTAAATAAACCAGGTGAAAATGTACTATATGACATGTCGTGGAGATAGATCCACAGTACTGTACATAAATTGTTTTACCAAACTGGAAATTCCATAGCTTTTCCTCCTTGAATGGTGGATATACAGATTAAGTGGAACCCGGACCACCAGATGAGGAAAATTTCTTGTGGCCGAATGGTATTTGGCTGGATTTGAACCCGGGTGTCTAAATGGATACTCTTACAAATTATTGGTGTAATGCTCTATTTGGGGTTGAGACTGCTTGAGGTGTTATGTTTCAGCTAAGATGGATTATAAATAACCATACGGCAATGTAAACTGTAAAAACAGTATAAAACTTAGTTACGATGCAGAACCTCAGGATAAAGACTATCTTCATTCTGTGGAAGAATTAAGCAAATAAAATCTTTCGGCGAGATTTGTTTGAGGAAGATGTTTTGAGCGAAAAGTTCGTTGGAGAGAATGTTACTCATATAATAGTACAGTATAGTACACGTGTCATGGAGCTATACACACTGAAAATACGAGTAGAAAACAATCACACTACCACTAGCAATATTAAGCAAGCAATAGCACTGCTTAATAATATTAACACTAAAACGTTAATATTTTTACAAAGACCGGCAACACGGTTTAATATCACTGACACAGCGGTTATTCGATAATTCCATGACCCGATAAGTCGATAGTAAACAACCGATTGCGCCAATTACAAAGACCGCTGTGTGACGAGTGTGTGCATTCATTAGCAATAGCGGATGCTAATAAAAACAATTACTGTTATTATTTATGCGGCGGGAGGAAGCTATACATAACCCTTGGCATGTCCAACGACTCTAGCCTTCATGTTCGATGTTCGATATGGTTCCGATAATCGGATCGACATTACTTTGAAATATTCGGTGTGTTTTACGTTTCTACTTTACTCATTAATATCAAATCAGGTTTAAGTTTGCAAAGTGGTTACTGGAAAACGATGAAAATCAAATCTGTAT